TTTTTTAGTTTTATTTATTAAGGTTACGTTTTTGAAAATATTTTCTTTATTAGTTTAGAAGAGGAAAAATTGTTGGGAAAAAGTATAGGAACAAAAAAAAATTACGTTTTAAACAAAATGCATATTTTATTTTATTTCGTTTCTACAAACACAAATACAAAATAAAACCACAATGTTATGTGCTGACGAAAACCTTGGGTTTAAACTTTTATTATATCTGTATTTGTTTTTAATTTCTGAAGATATACTAACACTATCTGTTTTTATTACTAATTGTATTAACTTAACTGCGGCTACCATTTGTAGTTTAACAAAATAAACAAAACCATCAAGGCATGGTTAAGCCACGCCCCCTTTACCCCAAGAGCGCACGACATTTTCAGCTGATCTCTGTAGCGCCTTTAGCCAGTCATAATGGATCGCTTTATTAGCATCGTAATTACAGATATCCGTGTTTAATTTGTATCAATTTAATAATAATAGAAGGTAAGACGTTTTTGTAATACTTTATTTGCTACATCTTTATAATAACACGTAGAAATGAAAGCATCTGGTTATACATAGCCTAAAGGAGAGTCGTAAACACGGTGATATTATGTTAGAACCCTATTCCACCCCCATGATATCTGTTAACATAAAGTTAGAAGCAGTCAGCGTCTGCGCGCTCGTATATACATACATACATACATACATACATACATACATACATACATACATACATACATACATACATACATACATACATACATACATACATACATACATACATACATACATACATACATACATACATACATACATACATACATACATACATACATATATATATATATATATATATATATATATATATATATATATATATATATATATATATATATTTATATATACATACATATATATAATATGATGTATCGCTTTCCTAAAACCCGACTGTTCGAGCTCCACTTCTCAAAAAATGTTCACAACATGGCTTTAGAGTTTTGTTTTTCTTCATATTTCTATATTAATAAGCACTTGGTGAATTTTAAGTGTTGAGTTATAATGGCGAGAGATAAGGCCACCACATTGTTTTCCATGATACCTTGGTGGATTTCGAACACAACAATGTTACGAAAACAACGCGGGAGTTATCTCCCCTAAACTTTCTCGAATATTTTTTTATAACACTACGTTGTATGGCAACTCGGAATATAGACATAATTTTAAATCCATTTTTAATTACTTAAACTTTTTAAAATAGAAAAGAATCTCGTAGACAAAAGAATTGCGCACCAAGTGAACGCCAAAGAATCTGTGTATAATAGTGCGGAATATTATTTGTACTTTATAAATTCATATGCGATTGTTGAGAAATCGCAAATAGAGTAAATTACTACTTCTGGTCAATGGAAATTACTCAAAATTTGAGAAGTGGCAGAGAATTAGATCTTTTACTTACATGTGAAACTTCATATATCTATGTCAAACAGTACTCACTTTATAGGCTTTTGAAAAATTGAAAGAAGAATAAGTTCCCTTTCCTGTTATCGAAAATCGCTGAGAATTTGATACAAAACTAAAAATTTGAAATAATACTTATAGGCCTATATGAAATTTCATCAACCTAGCTGTAAAGTATTCAAGTTATCGTGTTTACAGACACACATACACACACGCACACAGAGATACGGACATAATTACAAAGCCGAGTTTTTCCAACTCCATTACGCATAAAATGCCAAAATTTTTATAAATCTGCATTTATTATTTTTGCCCGATTAAAATAAGTCCCCTATATTTCGTATATGATGAAGTACTGAGGTGTAAAACGATGAAAACTCAAAATGTCATGTGATTTTAGTGCACGATTACAATACTTCTTCTATACTCTGTAGGCCTATACGAGAAAGCAAAAATGGAGTCAGAACAGTCTGATTCTTGGGAAGCAATATATAGAAGTCAGTGGATACAGATTTAGTTAAAAATCTTCCAATATTTGACTTTCTTTCTTTAATTCTTTCTTGAAATATTATATGTTACAGGTTAAGCCGTTCATTCTAAGTTGACCAACACAATTTCAACCATGAACATGTCGGACAACTATAAGAAGGCACTATTCGTTCTTAGTCTTGTAACTGTGGTGATCGTTTCTCTTAAGTACGTAAATTATAGTATGTTTAATCGAATCCAATTTATTTTTGTAGATACTATGGTTTTTAGTAACGAAAATAATACACCTTTAGAAAATACACATTTTAGTAAACACAATAATACACCTTTAGAAAATACAAGTTTAAGTAAAGAAAAACTAAGAAACAGGACTTACACTCACGTAGTAACTGACGAAACGTATTCGCTTATCTTAGCTACAAATTATAACATTTCCAATGAAACAGTCATAAGAGACGACGACCCTTACTATAAGCTTAAATCTAAACAAAAATCCGGCTTGCCTATTTCCATTCATTTGGTCAACCCTGTCTATTGGCTGCTGCCCTACTTGAAAGATGTGCCGAAATGCTGCCACAATTCTTGTGTCTTTGATCAAGACAACGTTACAGAAGACACCGACGTTGTGCTTGTCATGGGCTTCCACCTGAAGGAATGGCAGAGACCAACACAAAGATGGCCTGGTCAGCTGTACGTGTTATTGGATACAGAGCCACCGAAGAACTTGCCCAGTGCTCTATGGAATGGTGAGCGAGTTTTGATTTGTTTTAGTTATGATAGAGATAGATTTGTATCCTTTTAGTTAAGATTGAGATAGATTTGTATCCTATTAGTTAAAATTGAGATAGATTTGAATCGGTTTATTTAAGATAGAGATAGATTTGTATCTAAGTTGCTCATACCTGCCAGAAAAGTGCACCTTTTACACGCCACTCTTGTGCACCTCTACTTACGACTATAGTGCACATTGTACTTCCCAATAAGTGCTCAATGTACTTACCACTCTAGCGCACCCTGAACCTATGAATTATGTGCAACTTTTACCAACCACTACATTATACATGGTACCTACCATTCAGGTGCACTTTATAAACTTGCTTGTATAGTGGACTGTTGTAGCTCTACTTTCCTTTTATTATTTTAAAGCCAAAAATTTGCTGCATAAGCTATATAAAACATTTTCTGATAAAGAGGTTAATTAGCCTTTTAGGAAATGAGACGTAATTAGTGGTTAGCTAGATGCAATAATTAAGATTTGCAGCATTTTATTACTTTACTATATCCAACGTACCATGCATTCGATGCTAATATTTTAATTTTTACTTTCTCGTATATACGAAGTATAGAGAAAGTCTTGTAATCGTGCAAAAAAAAAATCGAGATTTTTATAAATCTCGACGTTTTACATCTCACTGATACGGAAAAACACTGTGTGTGTGTAAACACGATAACTTGAGTACCGTTACAGCTAGGTTGATGAAATTTCATATATAAGTATTTTATCAAAATCGTAGCTCCGTATCGACTTTTGAGCGATTTCCGATAACCGGAAGTGGTACTTTTTTACTTTGAATTTTTCAAAAGCCTATAACTTGAGTACTATTTAAGATAGATATATAAAGTTTCACAAGTAAGTAAATGATCTAACTGTCTACCTTCTATAAAATTTTGAGTAATTTCCGTTGAGCGGAAGTAGTAATTTACGCTATCTCCAATTTCTCAAAAAACGCATGTAAATTTATAAAGTACTAATAATATTGCGCACTGTTGTGCCCATCTTTATTTAGCGTTCACTTGATGTGCAATTCATTTTCCACGAGATTTTATTCTATTTTTAAAAGTTTAAGTATTTAAAATGTAGTAAAATCATGTCTATATCCCGAGTTCCAATCCCCTGTTGTTTTATATAAGAATATTCGAGAAAGTTTAGGGGAGATCACTCCCGGTTTATTTGATATTGTTTACAACCCTATGTTTCTTCGTGTACCAACACCTTACACAGTAATGGAAACATTTTTCTTTTGTTGTTTACAGCCAAATCAGCTTGGAGGTTTGACTTTAATTTCACAGCACATTATAGAGTGGAAGCCGACATATTTTTACCGTACGAGTATATAAAGAAGGTTCAGAATGGGAAACAAATTAATTACCGTAAGTCTTCTTCTGGTAACATATTTGGTGAGGGTTATGCCATTAAACTTTCATTTTAAATCAGTTTTATATTTCTTAAATCAGACATTTACATTTTAATCAGAAATTATATTTTGAAAAAAAAAAAAAAAGAAAAAAACAACAACATCAACCTTGGCCATAGTGCTGATCACCCCCGCAAGGGTGAGGCAGAACACCCCTCGTCTACCGCCCAGTTATTTGGGGCGTTCGTTGGTGGCACCGACGATTGCCACCCTGTAAGAGCTTCAGTTGTAGCTCCCGTTTCAGTTAAGTCATCGATTGTAGTATCCCATCGTATCTCTAGTGTAGTGCGCTCTTAAAAACGAATGTAGGCGCCAACGTGGTCATGAGGAGTCTGGATGGCCCTGGTCCACGGGTCGATTCAAGTTGTACCCCTGAGATCAATGAGCGGACACCAGGTGCTACTGCACATTGCCCCTATGCGTTGCCCGTTCAGTTATTTGTTTTTATTTCCATAAGTAAAATAAAATTCCTAAATAATACGCTTTATTTATTTATTTGTGTGTATCTAGGTTAGGGTAATTAAAGAAAAATATTTTCATGCATCAGAGACTCTTCTGAAAGTGTGGTTGTCACAGCAACGGCGGGCATCGTGAAAAAAATATTTTTTTCTGGAGGTCTTATGTTCAAAAACTAACATATCTATTGATCACATAATCAATGATCCTTCTTTTACGAGCTTTAATAAGGTCATTTAATGTTTGTAACAGAAAACACACTAGAAATATTTTATTTCAAATTTTCAAAATTTGGCATGGTGAAACACCATTAAAATTAAATGCTGAATTAGATAGACTTAGATACACACAAAATAAATAAAAAGTCAATGTGTATCACTCTAGGTTTTTAATACAATGTCTTATTTTCAGTCGAGCTGACCAAACAAAAGAACAAGACTATACTGTGGCTAGTCAGCCATTGTAGAACGCAGTCTAAGCGGGAAGATTACGTCGCAGAAATGAAGGTTAGACTAGCAGTGTTTCTTTCAGACTTTTTTCCCTGAAGGGTAGAATTAAAATTTTCGGAGGGTTGGGGGTGGGGCGGACACTAGTAAAAGTATAAAGTTTCTATATAAAATATATTTCGTTTCGAGGGGGGGGGGGGGTAGGGGGGGCAGTCTCCCCTCCCCCCAGAAGAGATCCTTAAAGAAACTCTGTAGACTAGGTTGTGACACCCACAAACTTTTATAAACACTTTAGAAATTTATTATAAAAAGAACCTTTTGCCAGACCTATGTAACACTGACACATATTATCTAACTCATAATTCTTTAGTTTAATTTTTTGTTTTAAATATAAAATTAATTTGAAAAAAATTTCCCGTTAGAAATACGTCGACGTGGATGTCTTTGGACGATGCAGCAACATCAGCCTATGTCGACAGCCAAGTGCAAGCGCCGACTGCCTCACCAAGGAATTCAACAAATACAAATTTTATCTTTCTTTCGAGAACTCCATTTGTAAGGATTACGTTACAGAAAAACTGTTTCGTGTATTTTTACCAAACATCAACGTCGTCCCAGTCGTGAGAGGTGGGGCAGATTATGCGAGAAACATTCCGGAGGATACTTTTATCGATGCGAGTAACTTTGAAACAGCTAAAGATTTGGCTTTGTATTTGAAGAGTTTAAGCGCTGATGACTTGAGGTACAGCGAGGTTCTGAGAGCTAAAGATCAGTACAGACTTGCGAGGACACCAAATGTTTACTGCACCGTTTGTAACAAGCTGAGAAACGCGAGTCTCAAGCCTAAAGTCTACGATATCAATGGTTGGCTTGTGGAGCAATGCCGAGATCCTAAAACATTTAATTGAGCTTGTTTTAATTTGAGATTGTGAGAAATTCGGAAATTAAATTATTTGATACACAAGTCATTGTTATCTAAAACATTTAATTGAGATTGTTTTCGTTGAGATATTCGGAAATAAAATTATTTGATACACATGTCATTGTTCTCTAAGACGAAATTATTTAACTATTAGACTATTACTTTATACCGTGTTATTTTTTAAAAGAAATAAACAAGTTTGTTAATGCGATAAGTACAAGTTTTCTAAGTCTAGATAGCCTCACACATTTAATAATATTAAGTGAGTGATTTGTTAAATGAGTAGTTTCCCTTTCATAGTACACTTGCTTTTTTATGTTTTTTTTTAAATTCTTATACGCATTGTGTCAAAATATTCAAGGGAACAAACTGTGTCTGTCATGCGCTATAGCATCTTTAATGTAGCGCCTTTGTTGTTATAGAAAAAAACCATGTCGTAAGCAAAGTTTAAAATATTCTCTGCCATCCGAGCATCAATCAGACTTTTCTTTCGGACATCAAAAACGAGGAACCCAAGTAAAGCAGCTGGTATTTGTGTTATTTAAACTTTGAGGTTTATCAATTTTAACTTTTCTTATTCAAGTTTTCGACTTAAGTTCAAATAATTATTAATAATGTTTGTCCGTTGTTAATTGTTTTATTATTTCAAACTCAATTTGCCAAAATAATAGGTTGCCCGGATATTGAGTTTTAAAGGTCTACAACTATGGAGAAGTGAATGTTTGGTTTGCCACATTAGGTTCAAGGAAAATTTACGAGAGTCTTATGCTCACTGAATTCTACGAGCCAAAGACACTTGCCAATGAAAGGCAATAATTTAAGTCATTAAGTACATCATCTTATATAATAGCGGACGGACTGGTCGAGTAGAAGAGCTCATTATTGTTAACCAGAAATTAACAAGTTCGGAATCCGGTTACAAGTCGGTAGAACTTTCCTGACTCCACCCATCTCCGATGGGTACCTGCCTTACCTTATGGAAACAAAGGCGGGTTGGCTTAATACTGACAATACTATCCCTATGCTGATGTCATAAAACAGTTGAACTCTACTTCATTTGCCTCTCTATGGCTTGGAAAATAAGGATGATATAAGATACTGCCCGATCGAACCCAAGAAGAAAATAATTTCTTAAATAAACACGAAGTTGTGTTTAGTATAACAGTTAAATAATATAAAATATAACAAGGCAATTATTAGATTGGTGTATTCACGATGAAAGTTACACTGTACTTTTATAAACAGTTAATTTACTTATAATCACATGTATGAGAGAATCATATTAATCATATCTCCTTCTTCTTCGTTCTTATTTTTAGTGTTGGAAGGGATCCCCTCCAACACAATTAAGTACACTTGTCAACTGGTTATGCGCCATTGAGGCTATTGCTTCCGATTTCAGCCTGCTTTTCTTTTTGGATTTGCTTTTCATAGCCTTTGTCCAACCAAGAATAAACTACAAGGCAGCAGTTGTTTGATTTTGGAGTTGTCTCTCCTGGAAGAGTGGCTGCCCCCAGCTAACAAGCCTCATCTGCCCAAGGGTTCAAACTCGAGACTTTTCGGTTTAGCAACCATCATCTTTACCGACTCGACCACGCAGTTAATTGTCTCATAAACAAATATATGAGAGAATAATGTTAACCATTTCCCTTGTAAGATAAGACGTAGGATGAAAGGCGCTGTTCTCTAAAGCTATCGTCATATCCCACCCATCTAGGTACAGAACCCGGTCCTCAAGTCCTCTAAACATCTCTTTGATAATCTCAACAAACCGCGGACCTAAAGGATCTCCACCGATAGCGTGGTTGATGCTCCAGTCCACGGTAGCGACGTGAGGTCCGCGGATCACAGCAAGCACACTGGGGTTTCTCTTTAACAATCTCGCTAAGGCTAATCTCAAAGCTTTCATTCGCAGGTAAAACACACTTGGATGTGCTGGCGTGTAGTGTAGATAATAATGAACAAACACAATGTGTTTTCCTGTACTGGAGATATTGTCAAGAACATCTGGTATACTACCGATATGATCAGATCGAAGTAAATTCGCGTATTGAGGTTTCTCGTGAGGCATTGCGTTGATTTCAAGCCCGATGCTTGGGGCAACGCACTTGGACCGCCCTGGCCAGCCCCCAGTTGTCTTGTTGCAGAGTGTGATGCGAAGGAAACTCGAGTACGTCATGTTACCGTTGGAGTCTCCGATGATCCAAACTTTTGTGTTCTGTAAACATTTCTGTGCCCAGTGTATTGATACCTTGGGTGATGGTTTGCATATAAGTGAGTTCCATACAAATCCAGGGGACCAGAAACCTGTGGGTCGGGACTTGTTCCATGTTGCGGTTTTGCTGGAGTTGTAACAAGATGGTATTCTCGGCACAGCCCCTGCGTTCATGAACATAGCAATGCTGGTAATTGTGAACATAATTACAGTATCAATTTACTATTATCTTTCTTATTCTAAAAGGTAAATTATCTTACTGTAGACAGTATAAAAATATAAATATTTCCCATGGTAAGAATGATAAATAAACAGAAGTGTGACTTAATATTTGGTGATAACAAGAAATAGTTAGCCACCAATCACTTTTACTGAGTTACAAAGCAGTTGTTGCAAAAATAATTATTTATTCTTTATACTCAATAAAACACGTTGTTAGTAATTAGTAATAGAAATAATACAAAACGGTCAGTCACCATTGCTAGGATTTTCGAAGTTAGACGTACATTTTGGTGGGTTGTCGCTTGTCATTGGGAATTGTGTTAATAAACCAAATAGAAGTCTACAGTTATGCTAACGTTTAATATATAGACATACAATTTGCGTTTCAATTTAAATTAAATTTTTAAACATACACTAACCTTTGGTTTCCGTTAGAATTGTAATATTGTGTTTGATTAAAGTTGCTGATGCTAATCTATATAAAAAAGAAAATAATGTAAACGTCATATTATGTACCAACCTTCAACGAAAATAGTTTAACTATCTATATAATATCAAGGTACTTGATGCAGTGCCAATAGCTTACTTACAGAAATACGCCTAATCTTACCCTGTACTATTTTTTATTAGTTGAAATTCTTCCACAGTGACGTCATGAGGTGGAGGCATTAAAAGAAATCCTGTTTCGTTCCAGTTATCACAAGTTAATCTTTTTAAACAAAATAAGATATAATATGGTTTTACTTTAAAAAAAAAGGAAAGCTGTGTAAATGACAAATAGTCTTACTTCATACAATTTTTAAAAAATACGCCTATCAATATTATTGAAGGTTTATTGTAAAACAGTGTTTGATTTAAACATCAAGAAAACCCAAAATCTTTTACAAATCATTTAAACCAATAAAATAAAAATATAGGATAATGATGTAATTTCTGATACTTGAACGACGAAATTCAGACTTGTATTTTACAACGTGACCTATACATGACTGATATTTGAACAAAGAAATTCATACGTGACTGATATTCAAAGGTTACACTCCACTATCAGATTCTTCCTCTCTTGTAAAAATGTTTTATACCTATTAGCAATATAATCTCTTGCATTGAGACTTAATTTATAGCTGCCAAACAATTTAGAGAAAAAAAAAAGATTTACGAACATAGAATTTTTACAAACTAAAGCCTACTTCTACAAAGAATTCCGACGACACCACTTTGCTTTCAGTTAGTTAGGGATTCTAGAAGATACTAAACAAACAACACAGTTTAGATTCGTAACATTAGATCCACGATCTTATGTAATCACAACCAGGTGTTTAACACATGCGATGATATCCCCGAATCCTTTACAGCAGGGGTTCCCAACCTTTTTTTACTCTAGAGCACATTCTAAAATATCGGTAGGGTGGCGGGCACCACCCATTTTAAATCGACAAACTCCTTCCATAACTTGTCATTTTCCCATAATTTATTTTCTTATTTTCTTATAGTCATAATGTATTAATAAATAATAAACAAAAATTCTGTCTCTGTCGAATAGTGAGCGGCGGCCACTTACGAATCGCGGGCACAGGGTTGGGAACCCCTGCTTTACAGAGTTCTAAGCTAATGTTAAAATATGCAATACTATTCCTGAATTCGTTACAGTTCTAAGATTCTGCTAAATCCTATTTCAACTCGCGATAAAACATCCCACAGCATTGCAGTATTATAAAACAAAATTCCTTAATACAAAAAGTTAAAAAAAAAACATTATCGAATATAGATCTTGTACCTGTTATCTTTAGGGCGTCCGCAGTAGAAGGTCTGCTGGTTTTGGAATGTGATGTTACACACACACGGGCGTCCTGGGACGTTGGGTGTCGACCAGCACAGCGTTGACTGGAATAGGGAATGGTACAAGGACGGATGTAAAGTGTTTACAGCTTTTAACAGAATGTGTGTGTAAAAATGTTGAATAGGGAATGGTACAAGGACGGATGTAAAGTGTTTACAGCTTTTAACAGAATGTGTGTGTAAAAATGTTGAATAGGGAATGGTACAAGGACGGATGTAAAGTGTTTACAGCTTTTAACAGAATGTGTGTGTAAAAATGTTGAATAGGGAATGGTACAAGGACGGATGTAAAGTGTTTACAGCTTTTAACAGAGTGTGTTTGTAAAAATGTTGAATAGGGAATGGTACAAGGACGGATGTAAAGTGTTTATAGCTTTTAACAGAGGATGTGTGTAAAAATGTTGAATACGGAATGGTACAAGGACGGATTTAAAGTGTTTACAGCTTTTAACAGAATGTGTGTGTAAAAATGTTGAATAGGGAATGGTACAAGGACGGATGTAAAGTGTTTACAGCTTTTAACAGAGGATGTGTGTAAAAATGTTGAATTGTGAATGGTAGAAGGACGGATGTAAAGTGTTTACAGCTTTTAACAGAGGATGTGTGTAAAAATGTTGAATTGTGAATGGTACAAGGACGGATGTAAAGTGTTTACAGCTTTTAACAGAGGGTGTGTGTGTAAAAATGTTGAATACGGAATGGTACAAGGACGGATGTAAAGTGTTTACAGCTTTTAACAGAGGATGTGTGTAAAAATGTTGAATTGTGAATGGTACAAGGACGGATGTAAAGTATTTGCAGCTTTTAACAGAGGGTGTGTGTGTAAAAATGTTGAATAGAGAATGGTACAAGGACGGATGTAAAGTGTTTACAGCTTTTAACAGAAGGTGTGTGTTAAAATGTCGAATAGGGAAAGGTACAAGGACGGATGTAAAGTGTTTACAGCTTTTAACAGAAGGTGTGTGTAAAAATGTTGAATAGGGAATGGTACAAGGACGGATGTAAAGTGTTTACAGCTTTTAACAGAGTGTGTTTGTAAAAATGTTGAATAGGGAATGGTACAAGGACGGATGTAAAGTGTTTTCATTGAACAAAGGAAATGTATCGCAGTGTATCAAAGTGTATCGAAGTGTATTAAAGTGTAGCGAAGTGTATCGAAGTGTATTGCAGTGTTAACATTTAACAGTGAATCTGTATGAAAGTGTTTACATGAAACAGAGGAAGTGTTTCAAAATGTTTCTATTTTACAGAGGTTATGTGCCAACGGCTTTATATTTAACAACCAAAGTGTGTCCAAACGGCTATATTTAACGAAGGAAGTGTGTCAAAGTGTTTTAATTTAGCAGAGGAAGTGTGTCAAAGTGTTTTAATTTAGCAGAGGAAGTGTGTCAAAGTGTTTACATATAACTTTATTAAAAAACTTATACAAAAAGTAATGTTTGACTTACATTATTATAATGAGTTAAAACTCAGCTATATCAAATGCAGTAATATATTATTTACCTATACATAAAATTCAGCTTTTGTATACACACAAATAATTTACATTTATACTTGTAATAGTGCAAGTAATAGGGCTGAGCTTGAGACCTAACACACGATGTAGGCCTATATATGTCTGTATTTAGTTACTCGGCTCAAAACCATAGATCGAACCCCCCACCACCCAACCCCACCCCAAACCCTGCTGCATCCACCCTCACAATTGTCGAAAGATGGTAGTGCAACAACTAAAGCGTTGATGGGAAAAAACAGGTAAATAGAAGGGTTTCTCAGGGGAGGTAATTTTGGTGGCAGAAATGCAAGGTTAGATACTAGCTGGTTCAGGCTTTGTTTAAGAATGTTATTTGCGAAAATATCTTTCATTTATTTTTTTATATACACAAACACGCACAAATGTAAATAAGGAGTTATTCATTATACATTTATGACGTCCACACAAATTTGGAATTTTAGACTCCCCCTACACCCCCTCCCCTTCCAAAACGCGTCCACTTTCGAAGAAAAAATATGCATTTTTAAAATTTACTTTTTAAATTATTGATTTTTTAACCCCCCCCCCCCCGCGCGTGGACGTTATATATATATATATATTTATTTATATATATATATATATATATATATATATATATATATATATATATATATATATATATATATATATATATATATATATATATATATACATATATATGTGTGTGTGTGAGTGTGTGTGTGTGTGCATATGTGTGAGTGTATAGATACTTGCATCTTCAAATATTTGTCATACCATTTTAATACGTCGGATGACAAATTGACAAATACCTCTTGAATGCTGTCTTTACTAAAGGTGACGACCATGTATCTGGTAGCCCCAATATGGATCTGGTGTAAGACAGTCCTCAGAAATTCTCTGGGATACGCCAAAGCAACATACAACTGAAAAATATTGGTGTTTGCTATTAAAACAAAAGTAAGCAGTAAGATTGTAAACAATGCACATTTAAGGTGCGTTTTATTAAATAAAGTAGTAAACAGAGAATATGTAAGAACTTTAAAAACATTATTACTAAATATATTTTTTTTTCCAGAAATATATTTTTTATTATATACTCATGATATTTAGGTTTGTGTTAAACTAAATATGGAAAAAAATAACTTAAAAAGTTAAAAGCAACATTCCTAGGTTATCGGCCTTTAGTAAACATACACTTGTCTTCCCTGGCCAAAGACAGCGTATTGTAAACGAGTAACTTCCGTTCTTTAAATCTGTGACGTCACCAGAAGATGCGTACCCTTTGACGTCAGCGCTCTTGACCCACACCCGCACCTCGTCGTCACCCCGTGTCCTCCTGCGTCCATACCCGTCCACAAGATCCACCCGCCCACGTAGATATCCAAACATCTTACACGTCACCGTCCCATTGTGTACATTCTCCATTACAACTTTTGATAAACTTTTATCCGGTAGAGTTTTATAATCAAACAAGGGCGGGTAACTTAATATCCTTTTCTCCCATCTGAATACATACTGTCCCCTTGCTAGGAATGGCCTATATGGTAATAGCCCGGCATGACTTAATCTATTCCATTGCACTGGGTTTGTTGCGTTGCAGTACATTTCTGAAGGGTTACACGTATTGTTGCATCTTTTTAAAGCTTTATCCGCGTGTTGTGCAAATGCTTCGTAAACAGACAGAGGATGTTTCATCCAAAACTTTTCCTCAGTAGCATTGGAATAATGCACGTCTTTGCTGCTATGAGTAAGTTCAGGAATGAACACAATCGTCTTGGAGGTACTTTCGTTTGGGTTTAGTACCAGGTAATGTATAGTGTTGTAAATCGTATACTTTGGATTCAACATTCTGTCAAATGAAGAATTAAAAGTAAAATTTAATCAATACACTGACAATATAGTCTTTATTTAGGACTATAATAATAATGTCATTAGCTATGACTCAATAATACTTTTAAATTTTTTCTTGTAATAATGTTGTCGTTATTTAAACTCTAGCAATCTTATCATTGTACGAAGCGAGTTTTTTACACATCAAGTTGGTTTTGACTTCATCTACACAAAATACACGACCCATAATAGCAGACATGATCAAGTTCAAGTTATTTAAGACTTACATGATATAGCATATCAAAGATGTCGCTATCAGAGCTATGATGCAAACTGTTGATTTTTTTGCATTAGATGGACATACAGCCATTTCGGGTAGCTAGAGAATCTAATCTTAAAAAGCAAATTTATATAGAAACATTTCAATATTTTACAAACGCTTGACATATAATAAAAATAAGATACAGATCATGGTAATTAAAAGTTTGCATATTACCCATGACAGTAATTAAAGAACAAAGAAATTGTCAATGCAATTAATAAAAATAAGGAATAGATGAAAACAAAATTATTGTGAGCTACAATTTTGAAATACTATACGTCCACAAATAAAAATAAAATACGTACATTTAATTTTGTTCAGTATCATAAGGAGAATCTTAATAAAGTATGTGTACATATAAAAAACAGCATATTTAAATCCATTGTTCAATAACCGTATACGTTTCAAAACTTAAAACACAATGTTGAAGATTTATCTTAAAATATCCGTGTAGTTTGAATTACTTAAACAAAAACCATTACCCTATACCTAAGCTTGTAGATACAGAGTTTGTTTACCAATTAAAGTCTTTCTGCACATTGTATGTGATTAAACTTTAGAAAAAAAATTATTCAAAAACGCGTTGAACCATTTCGACGCGAGGTACATGCGTGTAAACATATGTTAAATGGGGTCCCGGTAGGTAGAGTTATCGGAGAAAGGAGTGGGTTTGGCTGACGTGTAGTTTATCACGATTGTGCACGCAGGGTGGGGAGAGATTGGTCGCGGTGATCTGGCTGTTTTCGAGTGTTTAATTTAAACACAGGTGTGACGCTACTAAACCACGAGTAAACAAAATAATCACTCGCGTTTCTTCTCCGTTAAGATAAAAATAAATAAATACGAGCAGTAAAAAACAACTTAGTATTGAGAACAAAACTGAAGCATCAATGTTTCTATAACTCGAATCTAAAAAGAAAACATATTAAAAATAGCTAAAGCCATTATCCTAGGGCTGTGGTTAAGTAGTGTTGAAACTGTCAACTTTAAATAATATATGCTTTCTCCACCCGACACTAAAATAGCTTAGTTTTACGGTGCGCTGCTTCTGGGGCATAAAACTGTGTGTGTGTTCTGTCGTTGTTTGTACGTAGCTCCTTTTTATATCCCCGTTTTACAGCATACCATTTCTTTTATCATAGCAAATGTTGTATGCGGGACGAATAAAATATTGACTTTGTAAGTGATCACCATTATGTCAACTTCACCCTCCCCTCATTTAAACGTATTCAAAATTCCATTTTGTTATGACCCCCCCCCCCCCTCCCCCACATTCCCACTTGGACGTCGTAAATGGATGCCCCAAAGAGAAGAGACTGAGCGGTAGTTCCTGTCTAGGTAGAGTGACCTATTCGGGGATAAAAATGCTTTATTAAGGGTGGGGTAGTGGCGTAGTTGTATAATAGTTTGTGTTGAGCTGTGCAGCCGATTGATGAGGGTTCGGACAATTCCAAAAAGCCAATTTTCTTTTGTTGTGAAAGTAAAAGAGACTACAAAATATTATAACAAATAAAACACAACAAATAACCGTGATTATAACTTAATTATTTAAGTCTTTGAATAAGCTTTCGTCTATAATAAAATAATAAGGTGGTGTTTTTTAATTTTAAAAATATATATTGTTTTTAGTAGTAGTATGTGAATGGTATGTTTGTTGTGTGAAATAAACCTCTAGGCCTACCTAACCCTCCCTCCTGCAAGCACCCACAAAACTCGACATTCTACGACCGCCACCCCTCTCCTATCCCGAAGGGACGTATTTAAGAGATGTTCACAGCAGATTAGGCATGAGATCGGTTGTAAGATAATGGATTCATTTTGTGTTAAAAAGCTTTATAAAGAATGGGGTGGGCGTTTGTGTTGTGGAGTGCAGTCGACAGACCATTATCCAATGGGAAACTGGGTAGTCTGGTGATCTATAAACCCATGTTTGATAATACGTCCATGTAAATATACATGTCCGATATTTTAAAAACTCGCTATTATTATTTTTGATGCTCAATTTAAGTTCATTCAAGCAGAAAGCTCCATAAAATAGTAGCTATATACCCCTCCTACCCCCCCCCCCCCCAAAAAAAAAAACACAAAAAAAAAAAAAACTACCACACCAATCAACATCCAACCTTAAGGTTATATTTAAGGTCCAAGTTAAGCTTAAGGTGACGGTTGAGGTTGAGGTTATGGTTGTGTTTATAAACGATTATTGTAAATAGTTTACAATACAAGTTTGCGTCAAAACAAAATTATTCTTAACCAACTTCAAATTTTAAAATTACATTTTTTTAAATGGAGGTAGGAGTGGGGGAGGGGGTAAGAATATCATTTCCAGCCTATAAATAATCCTACAGATAGTGTTTCCTGGCGTCCTTGCAAAAGAGATTGTCCTACCCCCATGTATCTCACGTAATCGGTACGTGCCGACTGAGGCAAGGTTTTTGACCTATATAGGTGACAGAAGGATGGGTGGGGGTGAGGGTTGGGGGTGGGGGTGCATTCCAAAGAAACATTACTCAGCCGGTTTTATTACAACAGTCCGAATGTCTATTTAGAACTAACCGGGGGTTGGTTTCCACTTCAGTGATTCACAACGTGAAGTATAGCGTAATTAAAGTAAATAATTTTCATGACTGTCAATAAATCTGCTTCTCTTTACAAGCTTTTATTTAACTTATGCTTTATGTTCGTCATGTTTCAAAAATGGAGATCGAAATTTCGACCACTTTTAACTGACCAATTTCTTTCAAACCTGGCTCATGGGTCAAGATCCGATGGTAAATGTAATGTGACTTCAAATTTGACTAATTGGGTGCTTAATTTTTTTTTAATTAATTAAAGTTTCCTTTATGAAGTGATATTTTCTTTTTAGTGTTTACTATATAAAGAACTATTTCTCTGTCATCGGTGTGCAATAGTTTGTAGTAATTTAATTCTATTGTATTTAAAATTTTTAAATATTGAAAGCAAATATTTAAAAAAATAAAAGCTTATTAATAACATTAATAATGCACCACTGTTTGAATATATTAAAAAAAAAAAACATTTTAGGAAAGGTATTCAATCCATCATATTGAGACCCATGCTCTTCTTCATAGCTAATTAAATAGTAATTCTGTATTATAACATATTTAAAGAAAAACCATTCATTTTCTACGTTTTTATTGCATAACTGTACCAAAGTTTTTTTCGTGAGAAATCCACCATGAATGTGGATAAAATTAACAATTTTCAGTCACAGAAGGTAACAAACAAACAGATAATCAGAAGCAGACGACACCGTAGACAGCTTTAACCATAGTCATAGAATATGTTGTAACGCAATAGTTAACCGAAATACCCACGAGATTTTGTCATCGAGGTTTTTCACCTGGATTTGAAATCAAGACTTTCAGGTTAGTAGTCGTATGACGGTTAACTGTGGTAAAATGATATCTCTTTAAAATGCTTTGAAACACGAGCAAAAAAAAAAAAACAAACTTAAACAAAGTATGTGGATCGAGCCTTGATGAATTATATGTATATGTGTGTGTGTGTGTGGGGGGGGGGGTGGCTCAGATATTTTGCAACCTACACAATATACTCTAAGTTTATAAAATTCTCTGATATATATATATATATATATATATATCAGTAGCGTATGCAGGGGGGGGGGAGCAGCGGGAGCGGCCGCTCCCCCTCTGGCCATTTTCAGCAAAGTGGCGCCTTTTTGGAAAAGTTTTAAACAATGATATTTGTTAAAAAATGTTTTGGTCGGCACATCTATGTAAATCACAAGATTTCTTTTCATGCAGCAATTAAGCATTATTGTACTAGTTTAGTAGTGTCTACGTTTACAACACGTATTAACAGCTGCATCAGTTTGCTATTCTAAAATAACCATTACGATGCATTGCAAAGTTTAAAAAACCTCCACGGTAGTACCACTTGGCAAGAGGGGTGTTAAGTTAAAGCAACTGTATAATGTATTTGCTTACGAATAATTGAATTAGTAAATGTTATACATAAAACTTCACACATAATTACTTTATATATACAGTTTGAATCGTGTGATTAATTTTAAAAAAATTACAATACAGAAACAAATACAACTGATGTGGCACCTCTATTTAAATTAACTTATGAGCAAACTGCGCAGTGGTGGGGAAATTTTGACGTCATCACGATGAAGTAGTAGTATTCTTACAGTTTGGGCGATAGTGATTACGATTACAAATTATATGAAACAGTTACAACCCCCCACCCCCATGGACCCTTCTGTAAAAAAAATATTGTCATAATACCACTGCTACTTATTTAAATCTATTTCTGTAATATATATTTGTGTAATATATATTTGTGTAATATATATGTATGTTTAGAACAGTCATCTAAAAACTGACGCTATGTTCACTCTGAGTTGGTTATCTCCCCTCCTACCCCCCCTCACCACCACAAATGTGTAGAGCGACATTAATGTCACAGCTAGGTATCACCGGGTTGGATAATTGACCTAAAGTGAACGGACAGTGGTGATTAAGTTGAATCCCCCCCCCCCCCCCAACCCACCCCGAACTGATCTGTTAAGTACATGTAGAAAAACGGGTAATGATGTACCAAAGCACCATGCCGCTAGAAAATTAGCTTTGTGAATATTGTTTTTGCAATTACCGGTAAAAAGTTGTGTGATCAATACAGTGATCTAACCCATACCTATCACTTTGTTAAAAATGATCTTTAAGAACACAACGAAGCAGTAGTTAATTAAAATACATGATTGAACTAAAAGACCGAAATTTAATTAAACGTAGGCTGTTATTCCGAATGTTTATCTATTATATCGGAAAGCGTGATTTTATACCAACTCTGATTTTAAAAACTTTCATTATGCTGTAATACTTTAGCATTTATGATGACGATATATTAAATTCTGATTATAGACAAAAACATTTTATAAACACGAATCGTGTTAAACAATTTCATTATAATCTGAAGTAATTATTTATTTGTTTTGACATTTATAATTAAATGTGTAGATACATATTCATATTTATATTAAGAGAGTGATTATTTCCCCTATTTCACTTGTCTTAAATAATTTCCCAGGAATTATTATTATGTAAGAATTTATTTTTAAAGAATTACAAAACAGATTGTGTTACGTTCATTGTTTTGGGTTGTAGTGTGTGTATATATATATACAGGGGCGTAGCGAGGGGGGGGGGGGGCGGGGGGTGCGGACCGCACCGGGTGACACCATTTAGGGGGGTGACACCAAGGCAAAAAATAGCAAAATATATAGAGAAAAACTCGAGGGGGGGGGGGTGCAAATCGAAAGTTTGAGAGTTTGTCCCTGGGAAGGGACTCCATGCCTCTGGGGGGGGGGGGGTGACACCATTAAGTGCCGCACCGGGTGACACCCGACCTCGCTACGCCACTGTATATATATATTTTGTTTAGATTGATACAATTTTTGTTTTGTCTGCCTACATTGTGTGTTTTTTCTTATTTCTTCAGAGTGCTACTTTCAATTTATTTTACATCATAGCGTAATGACTTACAGCTAGTAATTATATATATATATATATATATATATATATATATATATATATATATATATATATATATATAATACACGTATATGGAACGTGTAAAAAATTTGGCGCCTTTTTTGCTCCTTTCGCTCCCCCTACAACGAAAACCTGGATACGCCTCTGATATATATATATATATATATATATATATATATATATATATATATATATATATATATATATATATATATATATATATATATATATATCAGACTTACATCACGTAGCATAAAAAGGAATAGGTGATCGGAGTTTTTACAAAAATCATTGCCATTCATTACCAGCTACACGTACAGCCATTTCAGGTAGCTACTAAAATATTTTTTAAAATATCAAAATATTTATATTCATCACTAATATTTTACTTAGGCATGACAATTAATGCAGCAAAATATTGATGCTAAAAATAGTATGATGAACTACATTATTAAAATCCCAGTAAGTTCACAGTTTATATAATATATTTATAGTATTGTGTTCAATATTGTTCGCAAGAAATCGCGAATTGTATGTGTATGAAAAGCTGTGACGCCAATAAAACCGCGCAAACAAAATAATGGCACTCAATTTTGCTGTGTTGAATTAAATAATAAATAAATCAATCAATCAATTTAAACTGTTGAAACAGTGGAATAAAGTTATTTAACTATCAGAAGCACACCAAAGTGTTGACAACGTGTATTTCTATAGAAAAAACATAGTAATAGTAAAACCAGCAATCTAGATGTAACCTACGTTTTCGTTGTTATCATCAGATAACTTTGAATAAATGCACTGATCCTTTCTCCACCCAATACTAAAATAACTTTGTTTTATAGTGCGCTACAACTAGGGCATGGAATGATGTATGCATTCTAACTTTCGTTGTACGCAGCTTTTAAAAAATCCCCGTTTAGCGCATAAGGTTATTTTTTTAACATAACAAATGTTGTATCTGGTACCAATAAAATCTCGAAGGCGTAACTGATAATAAAACAAAATTGTTTTATGTTCGCTTTGTTTAATCTAAGTCACTTTTTATAATACTTTAGTAAGATTATAATGAATTTAATACGCGGAGAACAGATAAGCGTATTTAATGAATCATGATTTAGACATAACAAAAGTGTATTACGTACATTATGAATTACGATTTTAATAAATACATCATTGACAAAGTAAATCATCCGCGCAAACATTGTTACATTTTATCTCAACATTCATCATATTTTTAAATATCAAGTAAAAATAAACAGGTTATTTTTATATTTCGTTTATGAGGCTCGCGTCAAGTGGTCCTCATTACTGCATACCAATTAAAAGCGGCGAAATTATATTGCCGTTTTATGTGTATTAGTTCGATTATTTAACATGGAATACTTAAGTTTTCTAAACAGAATATCTATACCATATTACACTATCCTTTGTTTTACCGTTTGTCTCCATAAACCTTAATGTTGTTGGCAACTCATTAGACTAGAAAGAATTTACACCGATGAAACTTTAGCCTAGTCCATATTTTAACATCAACCTTTATAAATCGGTGCAGTTTTCAGCGAACCGAGTTAATTATTTTAACATTTTCTTCAGAATAATTTAAAAAAAAACATTTCAAAGTTTATTTTTTTAAATAACTCCAAACCCTTAAATCTACTTTACTTTAAAAACTCATTAATCTAAACCATTAACACTGGATCCTACTTTTTGAAAAGCCAATCTTTTCTGTCAGTTTTCTCTGATACGTAGGCACGGCCTGACGTGCTCTTAATCTCAAAACATCTAAGAGATAGTTATTTACATAGCGAGAAAAGGTTTTAAAACATATTTTTAATAAACTGAGTAGGCACTTTATAAAGCCGGGTCTTAACTTCGAAAGCAAATTCAAGTCACAAAAGCCTGTTCGGGGCTTATTCAGACACTGTTTGTTTTATTAGACACCACTTTTCGCGTGTGTTAGTTTTGGGCTTACTGTCGTCGACATTTTTGCCGTAATATTTGAGTGGCAAATCTAGCGTTGAATTAACTTTAAGAATACCAAAGAACATGAACATATACTGGATGAACAACTCTCCCCCCCCCCAGCACCTTTCCCATGTAGTCTTTATCCCCCTCCCACTTTCCCTGATACACTAGCATTGTTCGCTATACGGGTTGAATGTAAAAATGTCTAATCTCCGGCTAGCTATTTATGTCACAAGTAGAGCGTTATCGCGAGATTAAGTTATTTCTCGTGTGTTTTTATTTTGCGTTATATATTTCTGCATTTTTTTAAGGGAAAGAAAATGAAAAGCGTAGTCGATACAACTAAAAGGATTCATATATTAGTAACGGCTTTGATTGGATTGTTCTTTGTAGTAACCAGTTATCTATCGTAAGTAGCTTTTTTTTTAAAGTTTAGAGTTTGATTTCTCTTTCTAGCTATGATTTTTAGATTTGAGTTTAGAATAACAGTTGATAAATTTACTATGCAGTATTTCAATTACACAGTTCCTCTTTAGAGAGTTCAATTTTTTCTTGATTTCGGCATATGTGGGCATTATGCGGTCATCACTATGCACTATACTTCCCCATAGTTAGTCAGGTACCCATCAGAGCTGGAAAGACTCAGATTTATCCTACAGTTTTAAGCCCAAATAAAGATCCGAACTCGAGACCTTGGTTCCCATCAGTTATAAACTCTACCATTCGACCACACCGTCCCATTATTTTAATAATTATCAGGTCTTACTTAGAGGTTAAGCTGTTTCAAAATTGTATTTTCCCTATGAGTAATTCGGTATTTATTTTACTTTACATTTGTTGGTGTAGGGATTTCATGCCTTTCATGGGTACCCGGCTCCTATTAGGAAAGAAAAGACTACAGGGCATAGTGCTGACCACACCATCCCTTCATACGCCGTGGGCAAGAAACATATTGCCTCTACTTAATCTTATTGTTCGTTATGTTCAAAAGGGGAGCTTTTAAAATTATTTACACAATGAGAGCTAACACAAAGTTTACATGTTTTTTCTTCATTGTGTATTTGTTCAAGTTCATCAGCATCAACCATAACAATGAGTAGACGATAATGAAAGGATGATGTATATAAAAGATAACGAAAATCATATTAATATTATTTCTGCTATTCTTAGACAATATCTATTACTTTAACTTACAGGTATTATGAGAAGCTAAATCAAAAGATTTCCAAAATAAGTTTTTTTTATTCTCTTTATCTCAACAGTATTCTAGGGCCACCATCTGCAGTATTTAGTATAGTAGATCCCCCTCACTACACAATAAATGTGACCAGCATTCAGGATACTCAACTTGATGACGTAGTTCTTCCAGTTCCAACACACAGTACAGTAGACATTCACTACGAAATGGCTTCAAGACCAAACTTTTGGGATAAACACCCTATATCTGTATACCAGGCATTCGCCCAGCACAGAGCTCGAACTATGGACAGCTGTAACAATACGTGCGATCCTACAGAACCACACTGTAGCGCTATGAATGCTACGGCATGGGAAGATTTGAACAAAGAGGGGCGTATGCCGTTTAGGCCATTCCTCTCAAGGGGACAGTACGTGTTCGACTGGGAAAAAAATCTACTAAGTTACCCGCCCTTGTTTGATTATAAAACTCTACCGGATAAAAGTTTATCTAAAGTTGTAATGGAGAATGTACACAATGGGACGGTGACGTGTAAGATGTTTGGATATCTACGTGGGCGGGTGGATCTTGTGGACGGGTATGGACGCAGGAGGACACGGGGTGACGACGAGGTGCGGGTGTGGGTCAAGAGTGCTGACGTCAAGGGGTACGCATCTTCTGGTGACGTCACAGATTTAAAGAACGGAAGTTACTCGTTTACAATACGTTGTCTTTGGCCAGGAAAATCTAGTGTACGTCTATTAAATTTACACACATTTCTTTCCCTATTTTTACAATCTAAATTAAAAGACAAATTCTGTTATATTTACTTTGCTAATAAATGAAAAATTAAATATTTTATTTTTAATTAAGTTCCTAAAAAAAAAGATGTTACATTTATCTTCAGTTAAATGTTGCATTGTCGTACCCACGAGAATTTCTACGTGTGACCGTACACCAGACCCATGTGGGCGTCACCCGACTGACCAGGGCCACATTTGTCAAGGAGAAAATAAAGGAGGTATTACAAATATAATTTAGTGTTATCTTTTACTTTGCAAGGTATATACTATATTTATAATATTATACAAGTCTTTACAAAAAACATTAATTTTATCCAAAGATGTTCTGTGTTAAAAAATAAAAGGTATATAATAAGAAAACCATTTCCAGATCGATTCATTTCCGATGACAACGAACAAATATGTAATTATCTATCAAAATAGATATTAAATTATGTATTTAATTTATTTTAAGGATTCACATTTGAAATAATAAACTTAAATATATTAGAATTAAGTACTAGATGACTCTCAACAAGTAAGGTGAGAAATGCGTTCAATGTTATTTACAAACCAAAGATAATAATACAGTCCCCTTTCGAACTTATGGCCATTCGGCTAGTGAAGTAGAGTTTATCTGTTTCTGTGACCTCGGCATATGAAGGGGTAGTTTGGTCAGCACAATGTCAACCTCCTTTACTTTTCCTAATGAGAGTTCGATATCCATCAGAGCAGGGTGGACTCAATGTTCTATGTAGGCTACTTCTATCCTTTTTTAAACTCTGACTCTGGGTTAGCAATCGTATGCCGCCCATAGGAACAATACTATAGGGAAGTTATTTTCGCTTATAGTTTGTCTCAGTGTGCTGATCAGGCTTTATAGCAAATATATAAGTCTTGTTGGGTATACTCATGATTAAGAAAAACAAACGATATGGAAAGAATACAACTGGGAATCATTGCTTTGAAACAATGTTTTTAGACCTAAATTCAAGCTACTAGGTGTCCCAAGTAGCGAAACGTTTCTTAATTCTTACCACATTCATGGCTTAGTTTACGGTGTACTAGCCGACTTTTAATCAACACGAGTAAGAAGTGGTTGGTTACTTCTGCAAGTATCGCATAATCCTGTAGTCTGTGTGTGTTGGGTGGTTAGGAAACTCTAATATCGGCATCTAAAGTTTTGTTGTAATCTGAGTTCGGCGGTCATTCACCCCTCATACAGCATTGTGGTACGGTGTGGTCGGATGGTAGAGTGTAGAGCGAGAGTTTGGATTTCAAATCCCAGGCTCAAGTACGTAGGACTTACTGAATCCACCCAGCTCGCACGAGTACCTGCCTATTCACATGTATGTCCAGGTAATTGAATTAGATGAACTCTACTTTACTTGCACCGTGTGTTTTGGGCATGATAGAGGGAAAAGCTGATTATCATCTAACTAGTGGATTAGTTGTCACTTAAAGCAGACGCAAAGCAGTTCCGTAGAAAAAATAATTATTGGAATAGAAATATTAGAAACACAAATTAATATATTAAGAAATGTATAAATGTATGCATCCATTGATTTTAACAATTGCTATGTAGTTTTTTTAAGTATCTGTAAAGATTCGATCCCATCTTGCAAACCAGATACACATTTATGTTATATATGTATATCTACATATAAAAGATAGTTATTTTAAGCTGTGTGACATTATTTCAACATTTCCTTAGAACTCATACATTTTTTAAAAGGTAGATCTGAGTCTAATCCCTGGTAACAGATGTAGCGGATAAATTCGCTGCGGAAAACTGCCATTTTTCCCCTTAAATCGAGTATTTATAGACTTTAACTAAGAATGACCTCACGTACATTGTAGCATAATAAAATATTTTAAACAAATAATGATAAAATTAAAGTGTATTAGTATAGTTTGTATTTGTGAATTTTTCTGTTGGCACAGTTTAACGTTCTGAGCAATTTATCTGGGAACCGTTGCTGAGATATTGAATCTTAATTATATGCATTATTCAGGTAACTGTTTGTTGGTCAACGCCAAATGTTCCTGGACGTCCATGTGTATGCAACATCACATACCAACACCAGAACATGTTCTACTGTGGCCGCCCGATAAATCCCAGGTAAAGCGACTTGTTCATAGACTTGTCGCACTGTTGAATATGTGAACACATCAAGCTCTTTCGACTGTATGAGCTATTTGAGTTTTAAATACACAGTTTCTAAACGTGTTTATGATTCCAGCCAAGGAGACCGATCTTGATCAGTTTGTAAAATATGATATGCAAATTGATAAGAATACTGTATGATAATAAACAATATATATATATATATATATATATATATATATATATATATATATATATATATATATATATATATATATATATATATATATATATATATATATATATATACGTACATATATATATATATATATATATATATATATATATATATATATATATATATATATATATATATATATATATATGTGTGTATAAATAGATTAATGTTAACAGATTAACTTGTGATGATTGGGTTGACACAGGAACACTTTACATGCCTCTACCCCTTGACGTAACTGATGCGGAGTACGACCTTATAAGAAACTCAACTGGGTAAGATTTTTTAATGTTAACATTTGTAATGTACGAGTTATGTAATAATTTTTCTAATTTTCTGTGATTTCTTTCAAGCCAAAAACAAATATAAACATACTAATTTTGAAATATATTTTTAAATGTTTATTCAGTTCAGCACAGAAGACGTTACTCAAGCATAATATTACAATTTTCACTGAAACAAAAGGTAACAAAGATGTATATATATATATATATATATATATATATATATATATATATATATATATATATATATATATATATATATATATATATATATACGTATATATATATATATACATATATATATACATATATATATATATATATATATATATATATATATATATATATATATATATATATACGTGTTATTGTTATAATATATTCTATTATTTGATCATTCTTATAAATGCTAGTTTATATCAATCAGTATACTCAATTAAAGTAGAGCTGCCTCGTTTTATTTTGGAAAAACACATTTCTGGTTTATATTTTGCATTAATTTATTTCCTATCAATCAGGGAATCCATTAAATCTTCCTCTCTGTTACAAGTCCAACACAACAGCAACATGGAACATGTCTAGACCCAAGGGGTTCTGGTCGCCGGGACTTGTATGGGTCTCGCTTGTCTGTAAACAAAAACAGGACGTGACCAGACAATGGGCTCAACAATGTTTACAGAACATGACTGTCTGGATCATCGGCGACTCCAACGGTAACAGAACCTACACAGGTTTTCTAAACATCACAGGCTGCAATGATACCTCAGGTGGTTGGCCGAGATCATCTACGTGTCAAATAAAAAGTCTTGGTTTTAAAATCAATGCCATGTCGCACGAGAAACCGCAGTTTGCAAATTTAATGCGAGCTCACCATTTAGGCAGCGTGCCTGATGTTATTGACAACATCACTAGCACAGGTAAACACATTATATTCGTTCACTACTACCTGCATTACATACCTGCTCATATGAGTGTACTGTACCTGAGAATGAAAGCCCTTCGTGAGGCGATAGAAAGACTACTAAAGCGAAACCCCAATGTCCTGTGTGTGGTACGTGGACCCCACATTGCCACGGTTGACTGGAGCGCTAACCACGCGGTGGGCGGGGACACGCTGGCCCCCAGGTTTGTTGACGTCATCAAGGACAGGTTTAAAGGTCTGGAACATAAGGTGCTTTACCTGGACGGTTGGGATATGACAGTTTCGATAGAAAATGAGAAGTTCCACCCTCCTATAGAGCTGACAAGAGAAACCGTCAACACAATATTATCTTATATTTGTTTATGATATTAAATCTATAATAAAAATAGGAAAGCTACAACATTTTTATATTTGTATGTTTGTTTTCTTATATGTATAATATTTAGCTTGATAAAATGATAATATTTAAAAGAAGGAACTGACGATTTGCTTGGGGCAAGGGAAATAATTTACAAATAATTGTATACTGAGTATGATTGTGTCCCTTGTAATCATAAATGAAAACTCTGTAAGAAATAGTTGAGAAAATACAATCTAAATTGTTTAGG